CAGTGGCGTATTTTGGATGATTTCTCGAGGGGTGTCCAACATTTATTGAACCTCACAAACAAAATGTTTAGTATTAAAACGTAATTATTTTCAACGTTAYCATTAATAAWGTTAATGTTTGTMTAATCTGATAAACTGTAAACTTGATTTAAAAATAAACTATATACGTTTACAATATTTTCGTTGTTRTTGTACCTATTTAGCGGCTTGCGGGTATTTTTATTATTGTAATGACCAGGTGAAATTCAAATAGTTTCTGGATATCCTTAATGAACTGCAGATAAATTTCTGGTGTTGATGAATCTAACCAAATTAATTTCAGTTTTGYCGTTTATATAAAAATATCATTTATTTTATAATAAAATAAATGTTAACACCAATGTCCAATRTATTAGGACTTTTTTTWAAAAAAAGWCGGGGAGGGGGTGTCCAGACACGGAGGACWCTCCCAAAATACGCCACTGCCTACAAGTCCTATTTGTCGGCTCTTACGACAGGCGGGGACAACCGGTGGTCTATTCTAATCCCAACCATCGGGGGCAAAATATTAAATACCTATCAAAAAATGTTACTAATTGATGACCTTAACTCTTTAATCTAAGCCTTCGGGCTTATAAATGGCWACTGCAAACACAAACTCAGGATTGCAAATCAGCAAATGCCAAACGGACGTAAATTATACAAATTTCTCTCTCTATCAAGCAGTTTCTGATCATATCTGTTACAAATACACCTATACTTCTCATATGGTTAAAATAKAAGTTCTGAGCAGTAATACATTTCAGTGGCGATTTAAAGTTTTTTTTGGAGGAGGTCCTCCAAGGATGGAAGATGTGGATTTGTTTTGGCCACATATCACAAGTACCTACTTATTTCAAACACGTCCTAAGGCAATGGGTTTTTATAACATGGAACGAAATATATTAAGCAATATATTATGTGTAGGTACTAGGTATATAAAATAATTAAGTACGATTGAGGACAATAATAATTTTTGTTACAGACTAAACAACGGATTTTGAAATATCTTCCCATAGACGTAATCTGTTGCTGTTTATCAACCCTTCGACCATGCATGTTYTGTCACCGTCTATTGACAGATATTTTGGATCACTTGCGCTCGAGTTAATCCATTTGAAACTTAAATCCGACGAATTGGGATCACTAAAATCAAACCAAATCGAACGTAATAATTCACAATTAAACACATCCAATAACATTGTGACGGAATCATAATGTTTATATACTAAACGAATTAAAAATATTCATTAACAAACCCTGACTTTGCAAAATTGGACCACATCCTACTCATCGTCTTACACATCTTGAGTTCCGAAGAGTTGAGTTTTGGAATAACCCTAGATAGTTTATTATGGAACAAATAATAAACTTCGTCCGCATGACATGCACCTGCATGTACACAAAATCGAAATCATTTTTCAATTCAATATTATATATTTTTTGTTTTCGGTTAAGTGAAACAAGTCTTAGTTTAATTTAATATAAATATAAATTATTTTTAAGACAATATATTTTTTTTAATTACAGCAAATACCAAAATCGATTTTGCATAAATTCCTGTTTTTCTTAAATTATTTTTCCTCAAGCGCTTTGAAAACTACTGGGAATTTTAAATTTTAATCCCCTGAATGCGCCAACTAGATTAAATTTTCCACCGAAATATGGGTACTAAAGTTGTAAGTCGAAGGATTATTTTGACTTTTATTTTTTTTATAATTTTTTACACTGCAGACACAAATAATAAAAATTACATCATTGTAAAATCAATACATTTTTCGCTTCTCTCAGACGCAATAGGTGAGTTGATTCCCGGGCCATTAAAAGAGGTAGGTATGAGTTAATTCCCTATTGTTGTATATTAATTATCAATAGATTGCACGAATAAAGAGTTCGACTGTCACACACAACTTGCTCTCATGTCCACCGAGACCACTCGCGAATTTACGAAAAATAAATAAATATTTACACGTCACACTAAATGTGTTTAATAAATTGTTTACTAATAATATATTTAATAAATAATAAATATGATATAATATAATACAAAAAATAATTAATAAATAAAAATTGAATGATTTTCAAAATAWGAAAAAACTAAAAAAAATACAACATTTTTGAGAAACTTATCAGCCAACCTCCTCGTGGTRTTTCTTGGGTTATGCTAGTAGGCTAAATATTTTACTAAACATTGAAAAAAATATATAATGACCCGGGAATCAACTCGTATATACTTCTTGATGACCCGGGAATTAATTGGTACGCAGCCCTCAGAATCTAAAAAAGGTAGGTATTTATTGTTAATTGTTATCGTCTATGAATTGATTATTCGTCAGAAAATGTATTTAACGATAACGTTTCAACACATTAATTTATCTCTAACATGCTAATATTTTGATGTACTTTATTTTCGAATATATATTTATTTAACTATGTTTTTCTGACAAATTGTTCTGTAGTGTAAAATATCAGAATGCCATACAGTTTTCTGCCATATTTTAAGTATTATAAAAATATAAATTCATTTTTTCATATTTGAAATTCTTTTGGTGTAAATTAATAACATTATGCAATTGTTTTTTTTTTCAAATTTAATTTTAATGAATATTTACTATTTATCAAGTATTTTTTTTGCATATTTGACATTTTTCTATACATGTTTTCCATTTTATTCGTGCATATTATTTACATAAACATTTTTCATTTTTTAACTAATATATTACTTCCRAACTCTTGTAATCAGTTTTTATTTTACTTAACCTCATGTCCTTATGTATGTACTGTTATATTATATTGKCTATTGTATTATCAATACAAAAGAAGTGCGTGTTGCAACTTTGCAAGTAGCAATTTAGTAAAATAAGATAAAGTACTTTTTCATACCTCGTAAAGAAAGTGTGAAAAAAAAATAAATCGACCATCACAGTTAAAAATTAAGTTTGCAACAATAAAACAACTAGATTATTATTTATTACCATTGAAATCTTAGTGCCAAGTAATCGACGCTCGTAACGTTTCTTGGTCACAGCAGTTGTGCCAATGAATCTGACTTTCGCTATCGTGTCTAAAGAAATTTCACTTCAAAAAGTACTATAACAAATGCTATATTATGTACCTTTAAATGCAAAATATTTATATGTATACTTATGTTAATGAGATGTATGTTAAGCATTAATAGTAATTCGAGCGGAGCGATAAACATTTTTTTAGAGTTGACAAATTAATGAATCAACCCCCTCCCTTTTACTGTGTTGTAAGTTTTTTAATAATAATCAAAATGATTCTTTCATCAGGATTTTCCAAACCATTAAAGGTAGGTATTCAAAAAATTAAATTGATTTAAATTTAAAAAAAAAAGTTGCACAAAGATATGGTAGTCCGAATGGGACAACAATGAATACACTCTTCGACAAAAATCAAATAGGTACTATTATAATTATAATAACCTTTTATGGCGTGCCGAAGATTGGGTCTTGTAGCAAAAATCATATTTTTGATAGCRTTTAGTTCTCCATCGAATTTGAATTCGTATTTGTAAATTGGTGTGACATCTTGATTCAAGAAATTATTGAAGCCGCGATAAAAGTCTTTGACAAATAATATATCACTGTGCAACTGCGTGTAGATATAAATATACAATTATTACCCATCTATAGAATAGTAGTTTTTTGACAAATAATAAAATAAATTTAAATGTTAATTTCCTTAATAATATATTATATTTTATAAATATAATAGGGTAGCGAGCTGTGACCAGTGGCGTATTTGACAGTTCATCTGTGGGGGAGGGAGGAGGGGCGACTTTAAAAAGAATTTACCAAACCGGCAACCACTCACACAAACTTAGAGGTACCTAGACATAATTTATTTTATATTGCACCTGTATAATATAACCTATAAAGTAACAAGTTACTAATATGATAAAAAAACAACATATTTACAAAACAAAATCTATATATTATTTCTATTTTTGATATTAGCAAATCTATTTATAACATCATTTATTGATATGATTATAGTATAGTGTATGTTTAGCAAAGCCAAACCAGTCAAGCGTTCTTGTCCCATTCTCGATCTTAACCAAGTTTTCAATACAACAAAAAAAGCAGCAAAAGTAAGCAAAGAGAAGAATTAAAAGATTTTTTTATGCTATTTTAGAAGAAGAACAAATCCTTAATTTTAAGCATTGTAAATATATAAATATACAATTATATATATAGAACATATATAGACATATAGTAGTAGGTTGTCAGGTTAGGTATAATACAAATTGGTTATARGTATATAGTTAAAGTATTTTATAGAAGCTTGCTATTGTTTTATTCTAATAATAAACACATGCACCAAAACTTCTAAGCGTTGAAAAGCTGCGTTCTGAGGATGCTACACTAATAGGCAGACAAGCAATAATACTAATTAATTTATGCAAAGTTGGATAAATGATACTATTACAATTTCCATTGATGACGAAGCATCTTGAYAAATGTCATGACCTTAAACAAAATTATAAAACAATCAATAAATAGAATATGTGTTTTGCGTAAACGGATATCGGACTATAAATAAATGTGCAAGGGACATCCGGTTGTGTGGCGCGTGCAGCCACACGCGATCGCTTTATGACCATGAATATGAGATATACATTATACGGGGATTGGGGATTCTTTCTACGAGAGGAGCTCGTCGACGACACGATCGTCAGACGTACAACAAGACGACTAGCAACTGGACGACCAGAATAAGAACACCACCACACTCGGTCACATCTCGCTCATCCACAATTAACTATTTGGACTTAGTCAAATTTCATTAAATAATTGTTTGGTCTTCAATAAATTCATACTATTACAATAAATCATCAAAAGTTTTCTATCTTCCATCTAACTAAATTGATCTCCCGACTGAGGATCATTACAATATAATAGGCAATTTACTTATATAGGTATTTATAATTGTCCATAAGTTATTACATTATTACCAATACACAGTGCTTACGTGACATATGTGTTCCAACTTTGTTGTTTCAGATTCAATATTACTCTTATTGAAATAAAATTCTTTTATTTTAGTTATGATTTCAGTGCTGTACCGATTTTTTAACAGTTTTGATATTTCATCTGTTGTGCGGTCATCGGAAAATTGACTTAACCTGTACTCTAAAAATGTAAAAATATTACATTTGTATCAACGTGATAAATATTACTAAAAATTTTTCTTTCTGAATTTCTAGTTTAATTAAAAATAACTTATTACAATAAATATTAGTTAAATTATTACATAGGTAATATTAAAAACAGTTACTTTTTTTATTTACTCTCATTCAGTAGAATACGAGTAAATGTGTAAATTARTATAATACCGTTATCTATAAGTACAAATATATTTTATAGTTTTGCATATTTAAAATAATATATATTTGTCGTCTTTTAGTATTCATCTTCGTATCAATTATGTGATTAGTTTATGAAATAATTTTTACCTCAATGGCTAAGAAGTATTTTATTTCATTGCAGAATACAGGAATATTTTAACTAGGTAATATTTTTAATTATTAAATAAACGAATATTAAGTATGTTTTCAGATACAACACAATTTAACAATATTGGATATATTGTTTTTATTAAAATTAAATTAAAAATATATTTACCATTTAATGCTATTATTCCTTCCATATTATTAAGTCCAATAATTACGGGCACGGGAGTTATATTGTTGACTAATTGTTCGGGATGAGCCGGTAAAAATCGATTACTGACCGTGTCACTCTCAATAGATGGTATGAACTTGTAACTCAAAAAATCTGTTTCATCCTTTACCAATAAATAATAATAAATAATATTATTTATACCAAAATACCTACGTGTACATATATATATTTTTTTTTATTAGCTTTTTTAATAATTATAGCTCATACCTGAATTTATTATACCATACGAACAGGATTGTATCGTTTGAAAATTTAAAAAATAAATACATATTATATAATACCACGAGCAAAAGTTTTCTTTCTTGTAAATTAATTATTTTTTCAGAATAGTTATACTCTTTTCACTCRACAATTTTATTATGATCGAGGTAATTTTTCGAACTAAACGTGTACAAAAGTTTCACATCTTTAAATTAATCATACGTAGGCCGTAACCGGTTCAAAGACAGTTAAGTGTCGGCTCTTATTTCGGCCTAGGCTCCAATTCTCCAATTCTCCATAATTATAATATTGTTATCCTCGAAATCTTTATAAAAATTTCATTGAGAACGTATAAGCTCCCAGACTRAAGCATAAAGCGTGAGTTCAAGAAACTACAGACATCATGACCCACTGATTTGAATACCTAACGTCTCTGCCGGCTTTGGTTCAGTCGCGTACTCTCATCGATTCTGAGTTAATCTCGCATGTACATATTATTATAATATATCTCCATTCTCATAGCTGAAAAATATTCAAACGATCCCCGTGATCGAACATCTCTGAATAAATAACAGTAGAACTATAATTGTTCACATATAACTTGTTAAAATGAGCAATCCTAGCCACTAAGTTGATTCCATACATTATACATAATTTAACTATAATTTACTCAACACTGAAATAGTCGTATTTAAGTTATAAATAAAGTAACAAGTATAGTAAAATCGTGTTCATATACCTATAGGTAGGTACCGCTGTAAAGAAATTCATTAAAACGCAATATTAACGAACCTTGAATTTAGATCCTTTCACCAAATCAATTGCAGATACGTTCCTCAAGTATTTTGCTATTTTTTCGGGATCATTACTTAAACATCCTAAATTTTTAGCCAACTTGATGGCCGAAATTCTGTGATTTTCATTTAACGCCCATGGATTAAAAGCACATCCACTTTGCATAATTGCCTTTTGAAATAAACCTAAAAAAGTTATTTTATTAAGTAAAATTAAATTAAAAATATCATCGTGTTCCGTGATCTAACGTCGATAATTGTATTCATATAATCATTTCGATCATATGATCCTATATAGGTAAACATACAATACAATATAAACCAGAAATAATCGAAATAATGTGTCATATTACTATTACCGGTGTAATGTTATGAATTATGATATTAAGTTTTATTTTGTGTGTATTTTTAGTATTGAAATATTGAAATTTAACCTGTGGATTGTGATGACAGCATGAGACAATGAACAGATGCTGACCCAGCACTTTCACCGAAGATAGTGATATTGTCAGCGTCACCCCCAAACGCAGCTATATTTGCTTTTATCCATTTGATTGCAAATAGTTGATCTTTCAARCCCATGTTACCAGGACACTCGTCAATATCCAAGTTTAGAAATCCTAAACATAAAATGTGTGATGAATTTCGTTGAAGTGGTGTAATAGTACAATATATATAGGGTGAGAGAACCTCGGGCGACTTAGAACTGGGAGTGCAATAATATTAAACTTACCGTAGCCTAAAATAAAATCTGCTAAATATAAATTATTGACTACTACGCTCATATAAGAGCTAGAMAAATTAATTTGTAAAAAAAAATGTCATACCGTATTTTCTAAAATCACTAATTTTATGTAATACTCAATCATGTGCGATTTTCACCATTATCTTAGCCCATATTAATAATAAAAGTATTAACGTTTTTAGTATAGTATACTAAAATACTATAGTTTGTACATTGTACTATATAGTATTTAACTATAGTATTTGTAGATTGATAAAATTTGAGGGCAGACATCAAAATATGTCACACCAATTCGTTCATATTATATCTATAGGTACTTCAAATACTCATAAGACGTAATCAATTAAATAATAATTCGAAAATTGATGCATATACATTACAGTTCAAAGAAATATATTCTGCTTCTAAGTATAAAATTAAAAATGTTTGTGATATAAAATAAAAATAAAATTTTTTCTCCAAAATGATTTCGATTAGTTATTTTCAATRAACTATGATCTTTTAACTTTTAAGGATATGAACTCATCTTTTAAGCTTAATGACTGTTAAAAGAATCAGCATGTATGTTTTAAGGCTCTGTCAAATAGAAAGCGTTATTCCCACATGGCGTGATTTTCAAATCAGTTACAACGTTGCGTTATTCACACCGACAAGCCATTTAAAGCTTTAACGCGCGTTATAACGCTTTATGTTGAACAGAGCCTTTAATATATGCCGAATAATAACAGAAACAGTAGGTATTTAAATCTATAAATAATTACCTAGAACATTCAAACGATAATTCAGCATGACGACTATCACGTTTTCGTCGAGCAAGTAATCAGGGGAATGTTCATTTACTGATCCACAGCCAAAGTTGAAGGCGCCTCCGTGTATGAATATCATAACAGCAAGTTGTCCATTCTGTTCGTTCTGATAGTATAGCAGTGAGTTGCAAACGATGTTGCAGACAAATTCAACAAATTTAATAATGATATAAGTACTGTAAGAATTGCAGTTTTTACAACCTGTGGCACTAATACATTCAAGTATAGACAATCTTCGCTTCCTATGATGTTGTCCGTCGAATAAGCGTATTGCATGCATTTGTCACCTTCCGAAACAGCTTCTAAAACGCCAGACCACCCGGGGTGTTTGACGGGAGCCTATATTATTAAATATCTGAGTATGATTTTAAATAATATCTGTATTCAATCCTATCTATAATCTATTTTTTTTTCTAGAATTATAATTAAAATTTAAGATGTATTTATAATATTGTATAATTTATTATTAGTTTTTATCAGCAATTAATTTCTTAAAAAACATGTTCCGACAGCATCTATATACAGTGGTATCATGATAAGTGAAAATATACTTTTTATATTTCAGTTCTGTTTTTTACTAACTAATAAATATACCTATTAAACACATTTTCAAAAATTAATTTATTTTTGTGATGGTTAAATTTGAGCATGTGTACAACTTTTTTCAAGGCATGGTTTCATTTTTGTCTGTATTTTTTAATAAATTTCAAGTATTAAAATTCTTGTATAAGTAAAAAATTGACCGATTTATAGTAATTGCAGTATTTAAGAGGACGCTACACCCGCATGTGTTGTCTCCGTCTTACAAGTGCGTAACATTGCAAAAACTGTTTTCGCGCGGGAAAGAACCGAGAAAGATACAGTTATAACTAAGAAACGAAATTTTCACCACATAAAAAGGAGAATTTCGTCTGTGCAATATCGTTTTTTATTTTTCGATATCACTTATACAAAAAAAATTCTTATTGTATTATAATACATTAATTTTATGTTTTTTAAGCATGAATAACTTTTTTTGTAGTTCTGTTATCGAAAAAATAAAAACGATATTGCACAGACAAAATTCTCCTTTTTATGTGGTGAAAATTCCGTTTCTTAGTTATAACTGTAGCTTTCTCGGTTCTTTCCCGCGCGAAACASTTWTTRCAATGKKACRCACTTRTAAGACGGAGACAACACATGCGGGTGTAGCGTCCTCTTAATGATTAGTTATTATTACGTTTTTTAACAAACTAATAATCATTGATACTCTTATCAAAAACATATCTATTTATCTTAAAAATTATTCGATTTTACACTATTCTGTTGCAAACAACACTGTATGAGGTAAAAACATTTAAATTCGGTAGCAGAAATAATTTGCTCCACGGTACAGTTACTTTTTAAGTAACTTTCTTACTTAACTAGTTATTTTTTATAAATAATAACTGTTCAACTTAACGAATTGAATTTAATGTATAAAATAATTCTAATATCTAATCTAACTTGTTAAAATTAAAAACAATTAGTTATAATGCATAATAATAATTAATATTTTTCCAACAAACCTACCCGATCCAAAAGCCTACAGAACCCTTCCCACGCCCAATGACCTATGTTGTCGCGGGTTAATTACYAAAAAAGTTTAAAAAAAAAATTARTAGGTATTGCCGTATTTAGTACTTTAATTTTTAATTTTTTGATAAATACATTTCTTGAATTTTTATTTCCTATCAATTCTTATTTCATTGAGTTTGTCCAATATATGCCATTAAGAGTTGCCAAAAGAATTACAACAATAAATTATACCTCAAGTATAACACAAGTATCCCCTCTAGTGCTCACGTCAAGAGACTTTTTGGTGCWGGAGGCCAATAATTGGATGAAAGGCGTGGATTTTATGACCATTTTTAAATGTCACTTTTATTAAAATTCAATAAATATTTTTAATAAAATATTCCTATTGCTAATATAATTTTATAATATAGCTATATAGTAATAGCGAGGTAGGTATATATGCCTATATATAGGTAAATATAGGCTATATATCGTATTATTATATATGTTCTAATAAAGTAATAATTGGCATAAGTTATCAAATCAAGATTTTTTTTAATTCAATTTTTCAATCATCATCAATAATTTAAAGCAGATAACTTTATTTACATTTGAACAAACCAGTTTTTAAATTTAATTTTAAAAAAAACTTACTTCAAACTTCTACTCTAACTTAAGTTACTATTTTCAATAAACTAACTTATATTACTATACAATAATACTATACTTACACCATAATAACGAACATGACAAACTTTATAATATAATAATGTAGGTGTTGTATTGTGTGTTAGAAACTTAGAAATAACTGAACTCAAAAATATATACAAAACTRTTCACCTTGAATCTTAAGTCRTTGACYGGTGGCTTAGCGTAGGGTATGCCAAGAAAACTGACATAAGGTTTGTTCGACAATAGCGTTTTGTTTTGAAATCCACGTAGTGCACCTTGTTCAATAATAATGTCCATTGTTACAGGTWATTGTTGTAATCTGGATAAAAAATGTATTTTCGGACATAGTTTGATGAAATTTTAATACTATATAAACGCTTAGCGGCCGATCTTGCAGGGAAATGGGTGACTTTTAAATTACATCATCCCCGCATAAAAAAAATTATTTATTCTTGATACACTACACTACTACAATAAGCAATAACCTATTAAAAGTACCTATTAAATAACGATTTGAAGGACAATTTTTATTGAATTAAAAATCAATTTCTTAGAACAAAATATTTGATATAAGCGTATTATTATCATTTGTTTTTTTTTTTAATCAGTTTTCTTGTGCAATATTTAATATAACTATACTTATTACTTAATATTATGGCTTGACGGATAATTTACTACTTAATCATGCTATGAAGTCAATAGTCATTACAACAGTCGTCGGTTTAAAAAAACTTCCACTCGGTAGTTTTAATCGTTACATAGTTCTTACAGTTAGGTTTGGTAGAGTGTTGTGAACGAGCTACTGTTTAATTGTAATAGGCGCTATTTAAACAGGTTTTCAGATAGTCAAACCATCAAGGCCCCAAAAGGGGAGGGGGAGTCAGAAGGAC